AGCTCCCCAAGCCCCCATCAGCTCCCCCAGCCCCCGTCAGCTCCCCCAGCCCCCACCAGCTCCCCGCAGTTCCCATCAGCTCCCCCAGTTCCCATCAGGCCCCCCAGTTCCCATCAGCCCCCCAGCCGCCATCAGCTCCCTCAGCCCCCACCAGCTTTCCCCCCAGCTCCCCCCAATAACCTGGGAGGAAGGCTCGCCCTCCCGTGGTCCCCAGACCTGCAGAGAGACGCTGGCACCTCCAGCTGATTCCCCAAAGATGGTGATGTTGTCGGGGTCCCCCCCGAAGGCCGCAATGTTCCTCTTCACCCACGCGATGGCCATGTGCTGGTCCCAAAGACCGTAGTTACCTGGGGCGGATGGGGGAGCCCATCAGGACCGGGGTGGGGGGAGAGAGTCCTCCATGTGGAGGCCCCTGTCAAGCCCCAGGATGGTGCAGGGCAGGTCCCAGGAGGCTGTTGAATGAGGTGCTGGAGCGGGTGTGGGGCTCAGGTAGGGGACCAGGACCAGGAGGGCCAGGCTTCTCATCTCTCTTCCTGACACCATCCCTCTTGTCTGTCCCATGTGGTGTCCCCTGAGTCACCACATCAGTGTCTCATCTTCTGTTTCTCCCTGAGTCCCTGTCCCCATTCCCAGGTCTCCTTGGGTCCCTGTGCCTGCTTCCTGGTCTCCCTGGAACCCTGTCCTCACTCCCTGGTCATCCTGGGTCCCTGTCCGCACTCCCTGGTCATCCTGGGTCCCTGTCCCCAATCCCAGGTCGTCCTGGGTCCATGTCCCTGCTCCCTGGTCATTCTGGGTCCCTGCCGGGCTGGCTGGCAGCCTCTTCTCTCCCTACAGTGCGGATGGGCTCCTGTGAGTCACTGTCCATCCCCAGCTTCATGCTCTGCCAGTAGAATTCTGGGTCTCTCTGGGAGGCTGTCAGGAGTTGTTGGGAGAAAGTGGTGCTGACGGGCCCCTGCCAGCTCCTTCATCCCCCGCCCAAGGCGCCCAGCACACCTGGCAGGTTTGCATCCCCAGTGCTGAGGTAGCCCAGCGGCCCAACGCGGTAGCTGAAGGTGACCACAATGACGTTGCCCCGCGTGGCGATCTCCTCCCCGTCGTACATGTAGTCACTGAGGAAGTTTAACCCTTGGCCGGAACCAATGACAAAGGCTCCTCCGTAGATCCAGATCATGACAGGCAGGTTCTGGGAAACTGAGACAGGAAGCAGACCGGATAACCCCAACTGTCCCTCCCCATCCCCTCTGGGTGCTTGTTTCAGGGAATTTCAGCTCTGGAGCCCACACACAGCCAAGGGACTCGGCAGGGCTGGGCCTCTTTCTGCAGGATCG